GCAGGGGTTATACCATGGGTTGTGAAGGCTTGACATGTAGCTTTCTACCTCTACCAACATTAGTAACCCTTGATCCTCATACCAGGACTCATTAATTTTTACAGGCATCATTACAAAGAGAGGTTGTCTCAAAACCATCACAGAATGAAAGGAAGTCACCATTTCTGAGAATACACAATTGGTCAATTTACAATTAAAACAGCTAATATTATATTCATTATCAGTTTCATAAACAATCTCTATATTTCCTACTAATAACATATAAGGAGCATTAACACAAGACATTATTCTCTTTCTTTTGTTCTTTGCCTTGAGATAAAACAGTATTTATGGTATTTCATATATTAGAGGCCCCATGCCAAAAACATTCAAAACTAAGGTTAGTAACTTTGACATCTGATCATAAATGTATTTCTTCCAATGCAGCAGCAAGTTTTCAAATGTTGTTTTGAAAAAAAGCTGAATCTGTCCACCAAAGTCCTGCAGATAAACTTAAGTCTGTGGAATATTCGAGTGACCAGTCTAAAAACTTTTGAGATGTCTTGTTAGATAACCTTTCCTGAGGTATAGTAACATAACATCTTTTCCATAAAATTGTAGTATTAAGGACTGTGGAGATTCACCAGTCCCATTAAATCCTTTTTCTGGATAAAGAAGGGAAACTTTTTGCTTTTTGGAATGAAATTTCCACTTGTGCACCAAGACACATCCTGGAGTTTTCTCTGCTGCTTCAGCGTTGCGGTCCCAATCCGGTCTCCTCAGTGGAAACCCAGATTCAAGCTGTTCACGGATAGTGGTGGGTCCTATGTCCTATAATGTAGCTTTGTATCAACAGAATCTTCCTTTTTTAACAGAAAATATTATATTTTGAAGATAACCATCATAAACATGTTACAATAAACATTTTTAACAACATATTTAACAAGACATATCTTTTTATAAGGCTATGAAAATTATTTTGGTGGCTCCCATTAGTGAACAAAGATCAGAATAAATTTTCTGAGCAGCTGCTTATTTACCACCAGGAGTGTATCCAAACTTAAAGGTTTATATTTAACTATCTTTTAAGTTTTTTATTTAATCCTATAAAGCCAGGTTGTAGAAATCAACAATCTATTTGTATTTGATGTCATTTTGATCAAAAACATAATTGGACAAACACTTTTGAACACTTAAGACAGACAAACATATAAGACAATTTAAATGAGTGCACTCAGATGGTTTAGGCCAACTAAATTATAAAATCTTTTAGTTATGACTAGTCAAAATTTTTGCAGGTCAAAATTAACAGAGATCTCTTAGGATTAAAGGAGTGAAAACTCTTCTTGACTGTAAATGTAAACCTTTTATAACAAACTTGAAACCAACAAGCAAACATAAATCGTTTCCACACACCTCTATATACTTAGGCCTTCTGGTATTGTATAGCTATCTTTACCTGTTTTTAACAAGATGAACATACAAAAACCTTTCATGTCAAAAGTATAACTCTTACTTATAGCTGTTCTAATATTTTTCTGTCTCATTTACTATTAAACTTCTATAACAAACTTCAGCTTAAAGTGTCCTTTTTCTGTTTTTAGATTGTTACATCTTAAAATTTGACTGGCTGCCAATAGAACAGTATTAACCTTGAATTTTTAGAAAAGAGCAAGTTAACCCTATAATCACAGTTTAAGAATTTGCAATTCACAAGAAGTGTTACCAAAATTAAATAGTTTTTACTAGCAGCTGACTGTTATAGAGCAGTTTGATCAACTCCTAGGCTGGGTTGTTTTGAAATCTCTTTAATTATGGGAATCCAAGGTCAGCCGCAGTCCAAAGGACCTCCTGAAAATGACTTAAAATCAAGATGAGTGGGGTAGATGAGCTTCTTTTCATCCTGTCAGAAAATTCAAAATAAGCAAGCAGACAAACAAGGAAACAAAGGAGTCCAAATAAGATATAGGACCAAGGCTTATGAAAACCAAACCAAAAGTAGAACCAGAGGTCTCACGAGCAGTTTCCTCTAGATTTTTTTTAAACCAAAAGGATGGTGAGGTGTCCTGAAAGGGGGTTTGGGAGGTCTCCCAGACCCTGTGGTGCAGAGTCCATTAGCAGATCTGCCTGGATCTCTGGGCCTCCAAAATGATCCAGATCACAAATTATCAGTTAACAATTATCAGACATTAACAGGAAGAGAAAGACACAGAAGCAAAACAAAAAGAACAAGCACTCACTGATTGGTTTGTAAAGTTTAAGTGCTCAATGCCATAGGGGTCTTTTAGGGGCAGCTTCGATCTCTAGCAAGCATCTCATAATTAGCGTTTAACCCTCTCTGTGTCCTATTTAATTTTGCTGTCTTTTGACACTGTTTTCCAAATTCATTCTTCTACAAAATGAAATTGCCCCACCAGGCAAGCTTTAGCTATTTGTTTTCAATCAAAAGGAGATAAAGCATCAGTTGTCAGAGAAGCAAGCATTGCTAAAGTAAAAGGGGCTGTTGGTCCATATTGGCTGCAAGCCATTTTTTTTTTAATTGTTTTGATGAGAATGGGTTTTTCTTGAGCATCTCGAGCATCAAAGACTGGGCAGATAAGGGAAAATCCAGATAAATCTTTCTCAATATTTAAAGCTTGTTATAACCTTTGTTGAACAGGGGACAAAAAGAGGTTGAGAATTGATCCTTACAGGTTTTTTAACTTTTAAGGGGCCGTGAAGCTACAGCAAACAGAGGGCTCTCTCTTTTTCTTTTTCTTTTTTTTTTTTTTTAAATGTCTGGGATCCAAACTATCTCTGATGAGAGTCCACAAACTAAAAGCATCCACGGGTAACTTGCTAGGTCTGTGTGCAGCATAATAATCCTGTAATTGTTTTCCTACCTTACTCCAAGTATCTAAGTTTACAGTGCCTTCTTCAGGGAACCAAGGACAAACCATTTCAACAAATTCTAAAAAATTACACAATTGCTGGTGCCCTACTCTAGCACCACCAACATGCAATAAATCTCTAAGCATATGTACAAAAAGCATTCAACTATTGCCGGCTCCCATTTTTAATATTTATAAGAAAATTCACCACTCCTTACCTTTTCGTTGAGGCCTCGTTCTTCTCTGCAGTGTCCTTCACTGGATCCCTCGATACTCAGGTCCCTGTTCGGGCGCCACTTGTGGTGGTCCAGCTGTCACAACACGAATATGCCTGAGTTGGGGAGTGAGGATTGAGAAAGGAAAGAACACTCAAGCCTGAGTGGAGACCAAGAGAAGTCTGATTTAGTTCACAGAAACAGCTCCTTTTAAAGGCACATCAACAGGAAACACCTGACTCCTACAGATAAAATCAGATCTTTGGCTATCTCTTTTGAGTTTCTCACACCGCAGGGTCAAAAACAAATTTAACACATGCAGTCCTTAAAAAGGAAGACTTATCATGTAGAGGTACAAAATCCCAACAATGAATGTAACTGTAATGTATCCCTAAAATGTACCAATAAACTCAATTAAAGCTGAAAAAAATAAAAAGGAACAAATGTTAACAAATGCTAATTAGGAACATCCTGACCACACATTGTGTCAATGCCTTGATTATAAAGAAAGAAGTTATCTTTCAAATTTCAAATGTCAGTGGGCCATGACTGGCTCCCACAGTCATTCATAAGAAAATGGATGCACTTTAGGAACATAATGTTAAGTGAAGTGCATCAGACACACAAGCTCAACTGTCATATGGTTCTCTTACACAAGAAACCCAATATATGAATAAAGTGCAAAATAAAAAACAGACAGTAGGACATATCAAGATGGATCTTTGGCACACAGGAAGGGAGCCAAAAGAAGGACAGGGTCGGGGAGGGAGAGAAAAGAAAGAATACTAATTTTCAAAAGGGGGATTGTGAAGTTCTGTGTATATGCACAAAGTCCCCATGAGGAATGTGATCATCATCTACTACAAACTTACATAGATATATGTGTGTACAGATATGAATTAATATGTGTATATGTGTGACTGAAGGGGACCAAGACGACAGAGGGGGATGGAGGGGAAGGAGGGCTTAAAAAAGGAATTGAGAGGTGTTATGTATACATAGCAACTCCCCATGATGAATATAATCAAAATCTCTACAAATATGTACCGATAAAAAATTTAAATCTCGTATGTCCTAAATCCTACAGGAAAGTTCATTGTTACTTGACTTTAGATAGTCCTGATACTGTAGTATGGTTCTCCGTCTATTATGAACACATTGGCCAAATGGCTTACCTGTAAAAAAATACTATCTTAGATTCTCCTGTAATTTGCATTATCATGTAATCTGCATTCTCCAACAAGATAGCCACAGTGGCTATTTCAAGTTTAGATTAATTTTTTTTAATTTGTGTGGTATAAAATTAAATATTCAACTCATTTTTAGTAGCTAAATCTGAAGTGCTCATTCACAGCATGTGGGTACTGGATACTATATTAGACAGTACAAAAAATAGTTTCAGCCTTCACCAAAAGCTTTATGGGACAGCTGTGCTGCAGTACCTCCTTATATACGTGCATAATTTCCAAAGATTGATTGTTCCATGAAAATGCAAAACTGTTTGCTCCAATCTGCTAGTAAAATATTGTTGATCTAATTCTAGTACTTCCTTTATTCCTCCTTAGTTATCTCCTTTTTGTTATTTTGAAGGTGAAATACAAAGACCCTAAGAGGGTGGGATCATTCACCATGTGATTGGCCAAGGAAGTGTCACTGGGTGTTGAGCAAAGAGTTTAAGCTTGATTGTTGCAGCCACATTGAATTACCAGCATGCATCGACCTGCAGAGACACAGGAAAATATTCTCGCAGGATCCTGATTGCTTACTTCCCACTGCTAGCCCAAATACTTAGGAGAAATTTCTTACCACTCTAAAGATTTTAAGAAAACACATCTTTGAACTAATGATGTGCTAAGGCATGTTATATAATTCTTACATAGTTAATCTAACAAGTATACTAACATTCTTTTGCCTACATCACCCTTTGCCTTGTCAGATTATGGTAGGGGAAGGAATTCTCTACTGTTGCCTGTCCAAAAGAAAAAGTGGAGTTGGACTAGAGCCTAACATTAATGCTGGAGGCTGTAACTTCAACTCTTTTCTTAGAAGAGCCGTCAGATTTGTTGGTGAGTGTGGGGAATCACAAAGAAAGGAAAAGTTTTTTTCCAATACAAATGTTATACTTAATTACAGATATTAAGCCTCTAAAGCTATAATTTAGATGTATAATTTCAGCACATGGTGAATTTTACTTTATATAAGAAACTGTTAAAACACCAAAATTTAGGCTTTGTGTCTGAAATGTATTATTTACAGTCCTGGTCCTTGCTTTGAGGTTTAACATGTCATGCATTTAAGTGTATTTTTGTTTTCACTCAAGTTAAAGCATGAATTTACATTGAGGGTTTTGCTGAATATGTGCTCAGATTTTATAAAGGGAGATTAAATGTCAGCAGGCCAAAATGAGTACATTAATCTTCAGAAATTAGTCACATCAGTGATTCCATTTACTGAAGGCTTTTTAATCCAGAAGTTTCTTCACTGAAAATGTCAGCACAGAGTAAAGCTATTTTTTCCTAGCATTAGTTTCCAACTTTACCTCCTACTTTCATGAAACCTATAGGCAATATATAGGCCTGGATAAACTGAATTAAGTCAGTTTCTAAATGCTCATCTCTTCTGATAAATTGAGACATCTTAGTGAATTTTGAGCCATATACCTTTTTCTGTTCATTTAACTGAGTTGATTGCACCAAAATGAATATCTTATATTTATTTCCATTATGTCAGTATAAAGTTACTTTTACCTGTGTCAGTTCAAAGGAATAAGTTGCTTCATTTAATATCAGGTCAATAATTAAGCACAACCTTCTCTTCCATGAGAGGAAACATCTGATCTAAATGATTCTCCAAATTTGGCTTCTCTAAGCATTTTCCTGCCATCATATCAAGATGGTGAAGAAAACAGTAGAACCCGCAGCAGGATTTGAGGCAAGAAAATAAAGTTCCAAGACACATAACTGATTTCAGAGAAAATTTTCCTTAACATAATAAAATACTGTGGAAAATGCTCATCTGTGCCCCCCCCCCCGCCGGTGTGGTCAATAATCCCATCCTCCACCGGCCTGGAGATTCTCATTATTGAAAGGTAAAATAATGATTTTCCTTCTATTTTAACTCTTCTCCAAGATTTTGCAACTTTATAGGATGTAGAATGTAGAAATAAAGTTTCTGTTTCATAAATCCTAGGTGTGTAAGTGGAGAAGGAATTGAAGGAGTGGTGTATAAATGACAATAAACAGTGAAGAAAGATGCAGAGTAATGTGCAAGCCAGGGGCTCTTGGTTTAGAGGGGTTTAGTGAAGAATTACCCAGGTTCTTCTTGTAATTTCTATGAACAACTCAAGAAATAAGAGTCCAGGTGGTCAACTCAGGATGAATTCAAAAAGTCAAACTGACCCGGAAAGATGTGGCAAGTTTGAGATCATGTGTGCAAAAGGAGAAAGCTAGACTCCCAAAGAGGAAGTCAAGAAAGCAACTTCAACGAGGCATAGAGTTTGGGTGCCCCACAGTACCCCAGGATTTGTTACTAGTGTTTAAAGACTGACCCCAGGAGACAAACAAAAAAATTATAGAATTTGGACAAGAGATAGAAGTATATCATCCCCAAATTCCAGACATTCGAGCCGGTTCCCATACCATGTACCCAGAATAAATTGTGGTTTCTATGACAGACGCTACCCACCCTCTTCTCTGTTTTATTTTTATTTTTTAGGTACCGGGGATTGAACTCGGCTCTTATGCGCTTGCAAAGCAGGCCACCGAACCACTGAGCTAAATCCCCGGCCCCTCTTCTCTGTTTTAATTAGCAATCCTACATAACCACAGCTTGAGGGAAATCAGAAGGGTGAGGGATCTAGACCATCAGGAAAAGATCTCTTTACCGCCTCAACAATGCTCAGCGATTTAAAATGATTTTTAATTTTGCTTTGTTCCCCATGTTTAATCCCCTTAAATCACATAACTGATCATCTTAACATGCTCCCAGTGACTGACAAGTGCCCTACAGTAAAGAATGTTAAGAACTGTCTCTAATAATAGTGACAAAAGTACCTTAAATTGCTACTATGAAAATATCACTCATCTTGCCTTTAAGTATCTTTTTTAAAATTGGGTTTTTTTTAAATGCTATCTTTTCTAAGTTAATTTAGACAAAATGGTGACAAGAGATTTTAAAGTTGGCAAGTGAATATGTGATTCACATTATTAAAGTTGTAATATTAGCATTAATCATCAACTTGGTAATTTGTTTTCATTTGTCTTGCAGGCGTTCATGTGTTTGGGCTGTGTTCAACAGCTCTCATCACAGATATCATACAACTGTCCACTGGATACCAAGCCCCATATTTTCTGACTGTGTGCAAGCCAAATTATACATCTTTGAATGTGTCTTGCAAAGAGAATTCCTACATTGTGGAAGACATTTGTTCAGGATCTGACCTCACAGTTATCAACAGTGGCAGGTTAGCAACTAAGACCTAAAAGCATTCCATGTCAGCATTCTAATTATTCAGTAATCGTTTGGAATACCATTGTAAAGTGTACATTTTTCAATCATAATGATTTATTTTGCTTTGTTTTTCTTTTTATTTTCAATATAAGGATTTTTTGTTGTTATTACTGGAGCTTGAACGTGGGTCCTTGGACTTGCAAAGCAGGTGGTAGAACCACTGAGCTAAATCTCCAGCCCAGGGATCTTTTAATAAGGATAACATAGAAATCCATATTTGGCTTATTGTAAATCCTTCCCTGTCTCCAAATTTCAACTTTCTAGTCTTGCTACTTGTCCTCATAACACTGAATTTTGCTCATGTTTTGTTATCTGCTTGTTGAGGTTTTAAATTACCACAATGAATTTATTATAGAATATTTATGGTCTTTTATAGCTAAACATCTGTCATAGTCATATCTTCATTTTATTTTTATCAAAAGAATCATGAATTTTTGCTATAGTTAAGTTTGAGAAGAGTAATATGGAGAATGGTGTATAATTTCTTTGAATAAATCCAGATGATTTAAATAGCTCTGGCCTTACATTTCAAAAAATAAGGAACAGTAAAATTCAAGAAACTTCATAAAATTTTAAATGTATTTAATTTTTTCAGCCAGTAAAATAAAAATAAATTCTATGACAGGGAAATTACCTGAGAAAGTCAAAAGAAATAGATCACAGAGGGACAAGGGCCAACAGATGGTTATTATAAGAACTGAATTTGTCATTCAATGAGTTCCAAAGATCTATTCAACAATGAAAAATAAATTGATGCATGCAAGTGAAAAATTAGAACTTGATATTTTGTGATTATACACATTCAACTTCTCATAGACAATTCAATAATTTTGAGCCTACATCCAAGACTTATGTCCTATATACTTTCTCATTCCTATTACATTACCTGGGTGGACCAATAAGGTCCAAATAATTAGGAGAATATAATTACCACATGTAAATGTCATTTTTCCAACTAAGTCCCTATTATTTTTTGCCTGCTTTTTTTCATACCTTTTCCACCATCATATGTTCTACCTCTGTACTTTGCTCTTTTCATTGTTTAACTAAATAAAATGTTCTGTGATTCTTGAGATGATGATTGACATTTTGTTAAAAATACACTTTTGTTTTTTAGAATATGAAAGACACATTCAGATCTACTGCTTTAAAAATAATTTTTAACTTTTTATGTAAATGAAATACATATTTAGGAACATAGAGAAAATTTTAAAGCTTTAAAATCCTATTGTGAACTTTTACTTTGAATTAACATAATCTTAATACTGAAGAATAAGTGTTTTCCAAACCATTTCTACTTTCAAATATCATTTCTGTGGTATGATCACCTGGCTTCTTGTCCAGCTGATATGTATTTAAGTTGGAAAGTGCATCCTTACTATTCCTTAACACTAAGGAATGGCGATTAGCAGTGGGTTCTTTAAATCATTTTTTGTTTCCCCAGAAAACTAAATTAAACTCTTTGCTTATTGCTTTGTGGCTGTAAGTTGAGTATTTTAACCACCCAGTGTTCATAGAATGTTTGCTAGCAGTGTATCTGAGCTAAAAGGCATAATTTGACTGCACTCCTTTTGGCAGGAAGTCATTCCCTTCTCAACATGCGACCCTGGCTGCCTTTGCAGCTGTGTATGTTTCGGTAAGTAACTAATTCTTTTTCATTAAATTGTGTCCCACAGAAAAATCACAGGAATAAATGTTGTCTCCAGATAACTGATTAGATAGTAAACTTCAGTATTGCGGTCCTTCAGTACAGTGGCATCCAAAGCAGAAACCAGATAAAGTAATACTAGAAGAATAACACAGTAAAAGATTTTTTTCTGTACAATCATAATATTTATTTAGACTTGCATCCTTGTAACACAGTATTGTGTTTTGTGGGAGGGAACTGTGAAATATATGAATGTTAAAATACTAAAGCTGAAAAAATTACATAGAATATTCACAAATACACTACTTTCAGTATTTCTATAACTGTGGGGAGCTCAAGGTCAGTGCAAACTAGGTAAGTGTTGTACAATGGATAGGCATTTTATCTAATTAATATAATGGCCCATGGAGTTTTTAATGAGAAAAAAATGCAATAAAGTTGTGTGACAAATTTCATAGTGATTTAAAAAATGTCTGACCAATTCTACTGTTTTAATTTTTTTCACGTTTATACAATTAAATAAAAGACTTGTTATTTGATGAACTTTTCCATTCATTTCCCTTCTTGGCAGCTAGAGAATATAGTCATGCCAGGGGGATGGAATGGTAAACTTGATGTCTACTGTATCACTTAGATTTTTTAATTTAACTTGTTACTTGATTAGAATTTCTAATAAGACAGCCCTTCTAACATATTCAACCACTTCTTTCATTTTTAAGATGTACTTCAATTCTACATTAACTGATTCTTCTAAGCTTCTCAAACCTCTCTTGGTTTTCACATTTATCATCTGTGGAATCATCTGCGGGCTAACACGGATAACTCAGTATAAGAACCACCCAGTTGATGTCTATTGTGGCTTTTTAATAGGAGGAGGAATTGCATTGTATTTGGTAAATAATTTATTATTACTGTTATTATTATCATTATCATTATTTTATTATGTGATGAACCACAGTTTATAAAGAAAAAATGCATGAAATATTTTTCACAATAATTTAATATTATATATTTTATATTCATGAGAACATCTCACTCTATGCCAAACTACATATCCCACTTTGAATAAAATAATTTATTGGATTCTTACTATGAATCAAAATTGTGATTTGAGAAGAATCATTATACTTTTATCAAACAGCAAGGAGCGGGGAGGTGGAGAGGAAGGGAGAGAGAGAGAGAGAGAGAGAGAGAGAGACTATGATAACTAGCACAATTATGATTTTACAGATGAGAAAAGTGAACATTAGTAAAAGTAAGCTTAGTGAAAGTGAAGAGGGTGTGTAATTTAGAGAGAGATTGCATAATTTCCCAACACAAATGTTTCATCTGAATATAGCTATCTTCCAACTAAAAGTAAACTCTTCAACAGCATGCTACTTTCACATCTGATCTCTGACACAAGCAGATGCAACGTAAGAAGACTGAGATTGTCCATTTCCTTCAGTCATGCATTCATTTATTTTACATTTATTTAATATCTACTTTTTGTCAGGTACTAGGCTAAATTTTAAAACAGTGAAAAATAAGATGCATTTTGAACATGTAAGAACTAACCAACATGGTTATGATATGGTAAATGATGCAATATGATATTTAAAAAGTACCTTGGGAATAGCAAACTGCCTAAGCAATACAGAGAAGTCTTCAGACACGCGATACATTGTTTTAAAAAAGAGTTTTTTAGGGAAAGGAAAGGAAAAATGGCATTTATGGTGAGTAAATAACACGAAATAGATGGACATGTGAAAGGTCAAGCATAAGGGGTGTGTGAGGAGACAGGGGAAATGAGAGACCACGGCCAGGTTTCAAGCTTAAAGCCTGGGCTGATGGTGACTTTATTATCAGACCAGGTAAATGATAGAGGAAGCACGTTGTTCAGGGAAAAGGGAGTGAGAAGCCAATTGAATAAATAGGCACTAAATTGTTGTGTCCGGAGTTCAAAACAGCAATCAGCACAGGATAAATAGATTTGGAAATCGTGGACTCTATTGTTAAAGACATCATTGTAGTTTTGAAGTATATAAAATTTCCAGCCTCTAAGAATAAAAATGAGTCAGGGACTAGCAAAAGGCAAGTGACACAGAGAAGAAATAGCAATAACGAAGGAAACTGAAAGGAGCTGATTCAGGAACAAATCTTAGTTGACTGTAGTTGTGCTTGAAAATGACATTGGAGAAAAGGATTACAGAGAATTAGTAGAAGTACTAAAGTGTAAAAAGATTTACTTTTAATTTAGTAAAGCTGGAATTGTCACTTTAAATCCTACACTTACATAATCTCTTCACTGGTGGAGAAAGGATCACATTAAAGTTAGTGTGCCAGAAATGGTGCATGATCATAGATTGCCATGGGAATGCTAATGAACAATGACTGGAACAGAAGAAACGGAATGGCTGAAAACTGCCCCTCTATAGTTTTATGTTGCTTTTGTATATGTTGAAATCATAGTGCTCTAGAGTTTGCATAGCCTTTTACAGATCAAAGAATTTAAGTATGAGTTTCAATTTTCCTGCCTATTGGCCAAGTTATGCAGCTTTTCAGAAGCCTGTTTCTTCATTGAATAAATGATAATAATTATCTGACTCAGGTCATAACAAAAACTAATCAACTGTAGTGCAATATGCAGCTCTGGATATTGGCGAGTACAATCAGAGCTCACACGTTCTTGGAGGACTTACTCAAACTTACACTTCTAAGTACGATTATTCATAGAACATTAGGTAGTCCACTCTGGTGAGCTTTGATGGTAAAATCTTCAATATATTATGTAGAAGACGATTTTAACCAGGAATTAAAATAGCTGGAGAAGCAGAAGCATGCATCATTTCTGTTTGCACTCTATGCTCTGAAATTGGAAATGTTTCAGTTCTAAACCCATGTGTTTGTTCATTATAAGCATTCTATAAAATGTTAAATCCGTGAAATTCAATTACTTACATTTGAACAGTAGACAGTGGCTACCTTCTATTGAAATTAGCATACAAGTAGGTGTCTGCTGCTTGATATTTTCTCTAACTCAAGCATTTAAAAAAAACTGAAAACCTAGCAGGGACTGTATCTTCCAAATGTAAAGATTTTGAGTCTGAATTTTAGCACTTTCCAAATTTAAAACAAAGATCGATAAACTGTGTATGAGGAAAAAAATAAAATTTGGTTCATATTTAGGGCAATGGCAGTACTTAACTGAAATTGCCCAATTGAAAATCAAGTTTAAATCAGAAAAGAATGTGGACACCATAGACTGGTTCTGGACTTTGCCAGCCAAGAGCACCCTCTACAATGCTGAGCACACAAGACTGAACCCAGTGTGAGTCACAACAGCATCTGTCTCTGACCTCATTTCAAAACCTGATATCATGTTTTGTGAATGATCCATTGTTCCACATTTTCTGCAACATTTTAGATTTCCATTGTACTGTATGATTGAAAATGGAAGTAAAATAAATCATTTAAGCTATTTGAGGTGTCACTCAATATGAAGTTCATAAATCTAGAAGAATGAATTGCTTTGAAAGGCAAAATATCCTTATTGCTGTCATTGTCTGCCTTTTCAAAATATATACAGGGTTCAGGGCATGGTGGTCCACATCTGTTATCCCAGTACTCAGGAGTCTGAGGCAGGAGGATCACCATGAGTTCAAGGCCAGCCTGGGTTACACAGTGAGTTCAAGACCAGCCTGAACTGCATAGTGAGATCTAATCTAAAAAAAAAAAAAAAAAAAAAAAAAAAAAAAAAAA